TTTCTTTATTAGCAAGTAACAATATATAAGAAGATAAGCACCGCAAGAGGCAAACATTTTGAAGGGCAGTTGTGAAACTTTTAGCTTGAGAAGCTGAAATGCATATTATATATATTATTATGGCCAAAGGGGCTATTTGCACCCTCCACTTAATTGTTTTTCGCGGTCAACACCTACCAAAATTTTTCTTCTTTATTCACACCCTCAACTTTTCAAAACTAGTAAAAAAACCCAACATTTTAACGTGCCGTCATGGTACCGTTACAAAATGCACTACGTGACACTCAAAAATTGACGTGACACTATGTACCGTTAGTAATCCAACGTGGATACTTTTTAATCCAATGTAGACATTTTTTTAATGACGTGGCATAATTTTTTGGTGAATAACTCCAAAAAAAAAAAAAAGAACAAGGAATTTAATAAATTAAAATATATTTAACTTTAATTTTTAATTTTCTCATCTCCTTGCCTGTTCGAAAAAAAAAAAATTTTGTTTTTTTGCTCATCATCTTCTTTCTCCTCACCCTCAGCATCGTCTTTACCATCTCTTCATCATCATTCTGGGTTCCACGAGGAACCCAGAACATCATCCTCCTGGGTTCCTCGTGGAACCCAGATCTAAGTTCCATAAGGAACCCAGAACTGGGTTCGTGGAACCCAGTCGCCCTAATCCTTGGATTCCAAGATTCAGAGGATTCACGCGTTCGATTTTGACATCAACATCAACGTCGAAGAAAGAGATGGATGAGTTTGAATTTTTTTTTTTTTTTTTTACAGATTTGGGAAGTGATTTTTATGAATTTGTGTTCTTTTGTTTTTGATCCTTTATGGTGGCTGTTTGATGATTGGTGAAGGTGATGAGAGTAATGATTGGCAAAGATGGTGGGAAGATGGAAATTCGAGGGGGGCTGGAGAGAAGCTGGGAGAAGAATTTTTTCTTTTTTTGGTTGCTTGGGGATTGATGATGGTGATGGTGATGAGAGTGATGATCGATGATGATGGGATGATGATGGGATGATGAAGATCGAAGTTTGAAGGGGGGGGCTTGCGGCTAGTTTTTTTTGCCGAACCTAGCTCTGGGTTCCACAGAGCTGGGTTTGTGAGGAACCCAGTTTGAGGAACCCAGTTTGTACCTTTCTTTCGCCTTTCTTTTCTGTGATTGTTTCTGGTTATGATAGAATAATAAGATGATGATTTGATTCTTTGATTGGTTCTCAACTTTTCTTGCAAATGAATTAAAAGATTGTTCTT